TTCAGATATTTGCAAAGAGGAGATGATAAGAAAGTATGAATAGAACATATGAAATGTATGCGACACCATAAAAAGACAAAATTTAAAAATCATGGGCAGAGAAGCACTTCAAATTAAATGCAAGAATAATACATTCAATAACGTTATAGCAGAAAATTTCCCTCATCTAGGGAAAGAAATAAGCCATGCAGATTCATGAGATATTGTATTTGCAAAGAGGAGATGATAAGAAAGTATGAATAGAACATATGAAATGTATGCGACACCATAAAAAGACAAAATTTAAAAATCATGGGCAGAGAAGCACTTCAAATTAAATGCAAGAATAATACATTCAATAACGTTATAGCAGAAAATTTCCCTCATCTAGGGAAAGAAATAAGCCATGCAGATTCATGAGATATTGAGAATGTCAACACACAGTAGCAAAATAGAACCTCCCCGTGTTATATTTAACACACTAATTTTGAAAAAGTAATGAAGGCTACTAGAGATATACAGCAACTCACATATAAGGAAATTCTATTAGAATAATAGATTTTTCTCAACAGAAATCCTTTAAATCCAAAGAGCATGGCACAATGGAGTCTAATCTCTAAATGAAACTAATTTTCTACTCAGATTGTTATATCTAACAAAAACTATCTATTATAAATTGATGGACAAATGTTCCATAGTAAAAAAAATTAAAGTACTTAATGATCCCAAAACCTGTACTCCAAATATACTTGATGGAATCTTACACACTGAAAAGAAATATAAAGATTTCTGTGAGATAACAGAAAGGAAAATATTGTACTAGGATATTAATTAAACAAATGAGTAAAAAGGAAAACACCAACCATAACAAAAGTAACAAAATAACAGAATTAGTACATGCCCTTAAAAAATAAATCTGAATATTAATGTTCTCAATTCCTCAATCAAAATAGACTAGCAGACTGGATAACAAAACGTGAATCCATCTATTTGTTGCCTCTAAGAACACCACCTTAGTATTATCAAGGGTGAAATGGAGAAAATGGGGGTACTTTAACTGGAGGGAAGATGGAGGATTAGCTATGGAGAGAGAGAGAGAGAGAGAGAGAGAGAGAGAGAGAGAGAATAAATTAATGCTTAGCTGGTGTGACAAACCAGAAAGAAATGTGTAAGTTCAAAAGCCTACTGAAAAATGCAGTATCTCTACATGTGTCCAGGGGTCTAGCTTAGGCTATATAACAAGAAAAAGTTCCAGACAGGAGAATCCTTTATTCAAGCTGTTGGTCAGGGTGGTCCAAGAGACTCCCAAAATTACACAGGCTATTGCCACAATCCTTGATTGCCTTCCAGAACTTGAAGGTAAGACTGTATTGCTGAAGACAGGACATACTTCAGACACAGGATTTGGAGCAATGGAGCTGGAACTGACCTGGAAGCCACCTCCTTGAAGGCTAGCTCTCTATGCAAGCTGGAAAGGGAGAACATCAATCAATGGTCCAACCCCAGCTTTAAGGCCTAATAACCACAACAAAGACTGACACATTAAATCACACTGGTGCAGTAGTGGCACTTTTTTTTTTGGTCTTTTTGAGACAGGGTCTCCCTGTAGCCCCAGCTGTCCTGGAACTCACTATGTAGACCAGGCTGGCCTTGAACTCACAGAGATCCGCCTGCCTCTGCCTCCCGAGTGCTTGTAGCAGCACTTTTATACTGGGGATAGTCAAGAGCTACCTAACTGGACTTAAAGCCCACTCAATGGGAAGGCCTTCATGTGTGGGTACTTTTAATATAGGCAAATACACATGGCTGGGGAGGTCACAGATTTTGGAGAAAACCCTAAGGCTGTCACATCCCTAGACAAATGTAATTTCTTACTAATATGCTAAATATGGATCCTTATATTTACAGACAGGTATGCCAGTCACCACTCATCCAAGAAGCCTTTTTTGCAACAGAGACTATTAAAAAGTTCCACAGCTGGTCACCCACAGAGAATAAGTGTCTGTGAAATCACCAAGCCTAAGTGGCACATGTACAATGCAACCTCTATACCTAAGGCTCAAGGGACATAGTGGAACAAGGGGTTGAGAGAATACTAATGTACCTCTCAATTCTCAGTAATGAAGCCCCTTCATGCAACAGAGGGCAATGAACACAAAGGCCACAAATGGCCAAAGTGTAGAGAATATGAGTCTGTAGAGTGTGAGCCCTTGGACATGATTCCTATATTAAACTCCACCCACCCAGGACTCAGGGATCATTGTAGAAGAGGGGGTGGGAAGATCAAAGAGCCAGGGGAGGAGGTACACGACCAGATGGAAACAAGGGTTTACAGGATCCTGGGACCTTGCTCATATGAATCTTCAGCAATGGTGTCAGCATGCACAAGACCCATGCAAACTCAAACTGACAAGATCCAGCATAGAACTGTGGAAATGGATGGTAGGCCCCAATCTTAGCCAAAGAACTATTCACAGCTGTTACTCCTGGATGAGGGAGAAGTGATCTTCTTTAAAGTAGTGACTCTAGATAGGCTGACTAGACACCAGTGGATGAACTTACACAGAGGGACGTGTGGGTACGCTAACAACACTATTGGCCTTAATACAAATGACAGAATGCATGGAAACCAATGAAGAGGCCTATGGGAGGGTGTGGCTGGGGGAGGGTTATAAAGATGATTACAATGTTTTGTATGTAATACACAAAATTTCAAAAAAATACAAAAAAATAATAAAACTAATAAATAAAATATTATAGAAAAGAAAACCATCTTACTATTAAAAACAAACATACCCTTAAACTGAAAAGATGGAAAAAGGCATGATAAGGCAAGGAAAGCAGAAATCATGCGGTTTTCTTTCTCTTAATACCTGTCAAAATAAACCAGATAAAAATCAGTCCTACAAAGAATGAAGTTCACTTCATACCAACTAAACAATGAGCTAAAAAATTCTAAATTATATGGCAGTGTAAGCTAATAGACCTTACCAGACATCTACATATCATTTCACACAAACCCTGAAGAATGCACATCTTTCTCAGAACCCACGTAACTGTCTCTGAAATAAATCATAGGCTAGAACACAAGCAAATCTTAAATACAAAAAAAGTTGAATCAATTTCTTGTATGCTATCTGTCATAGCTTCAATTGCCAACTTGACACACTGGGAAGAGGAAATCTCAACTGAAAAATTTCCTTCATCAGAATGACCAGTGTGGTATTCTCTTGATTGCTAATTGATGGAGCAGGGCCTATCCCACTCTGAGAAGTACCAACCTGGGCAGGTTGTCCTGGGTTGTATAAGGAAGGTTGCTGAGCAAACCTGAACAAGCAAGCAAGAGAATTGCTCTTTGACCACTGCTTCAGATCCTGCCTGCAGTTTCTCATCTAGAGTTCCTGCCTTGGTTCCCCCTATGAACTGTAAGCCAAATAAACTCTTTACCCTTCAAGTTGCTTTTGATCATAGTATTTTATCACAGCAATAGAAAAGCAAACTAATACACTATCTGATCACTCTGGAAATCAACAGGAAGACAAATGACAGAAAATTTGCAAACTCGTGAAGATTAAATGATCACTACTGAATGACATAAGGGTCATTGAAGAAATCAGGATGGAAATTTTAAAATTTTTGAATTGAATTAAAGTGAAACACATCTAAAAAAATGTATGGAATGCAGTGACATCAGTCCTGAAATAAATAATTTAATGATGCACTTAAGGCTTTAGAAAAAAAAGAAGGCGCCAAAATCAAAATCAACTGAAGGGGAAAAAAATAAAGATCAGGGTATAAATTAATGAAATGGAACACAAATCAAAGAATCAACCAGATGCTGATAAATCTGTACGTAAACTAACCAAAAGAAACAGAGAGAAGACTCAAAGTAATAAAATTAGAGGTGAAAAAAGGACATAAGATATTCAAATCCAGAGAGCATGGAACAATGAATTCAAAACTCTAAAGAAATCAATTGCCTACCTGGATTACTATACTTAATAAAACTATTAAAACTGATGGCCAGTACATCTCGATTCCCCTGCACCCCGACCAGCTATATTCTCTCTCCCCACATTGGCCCCATTTTGGCCTTAGCCTGGTGCTTGCTCCTGTTCTTCCTACCCGAGACCTCTGGACTAGCCTCCTAAACCAGACACCTCCCACTGGGTCCTGAACCTCCTGCACCCAAATTAGCTACATCCTCCTCCTTCAGGGTCCATACTTACTCTGCCCAGCCAGTTAAACCCTCCCCATGCTGTCCCCCACCCCACCTTGGCCCTAGGCAACCTCCTGAAGTTCTTGCCTGAGAGCTCCTGACTACTATTCCAGGACCCAGCCACTGGATCCCATAGTCTTCTATTAAGCCCAGAGCCCTTTGGCCTGCTGGAGGGCTCTTCACCAATCAGTTTGAACCATCCAGTCCTACCAATAAAAAAGCAAAAGTGAAAAGCTGAAGCACAGACCAACTAACTATTCTTACCCGACTAGAAAGTAACCAAGCTACACCAACAATATAAACAGAACCAAGCCTCAACTAAACAAAGGCAGATCAGAATTTCATAACAGACACACAACCAACAGAAGTCATATGCCCAGTCCACAACACAAAAACAGAGGTAATGTGTGTCCCCACCAAAAGCCACCAGTCCTACAAAAGTATATTACAATGAGAAGCACCCAGGGATCCCCAGGACACAGACTTTAAAGGAACAATCATAAACATCATCAAAGAATTCAATGACTTTAAAGAACACACAAACAACTCAAAAGAAGTCAAAGAGGGTAAAGAATAAACTCATGACTGAAGTTCAAGAAAATAGGAATATACGGCTGAATGAACTGTCAAAGAGAATTCGGGGCTTGAAAAGCAAATTCACAAAAGAGACAGAAATGCTGAACTATACTCAAGACGAAACGAAGATGGAACTGAAAAGCAAAGGACTGGGTACCGGGACTGTACGTGCTGAGCTCCAGGCTGGCCCCGACTACAAAATGGCGGCAGAAAGGCTTCAATTGAAAAAGGCTCGAACCGATTTTTTTCAGACACTAAGGGCGGGGGAGGAGGCGCGCAGGAGCCGTGCGTGGTACCACACCGCCATCTAACGGCCAGAGAAACTGAAAACACCAGCCAGCGACGAGCCGCCAGCTCCCCGCCTGAATTCAGGTCCCTCGCGCTGGAGGCCGAGCCGCAGCAGCGCAGCACAGGGCGCTCTCCCACCCGCCAGTCCCCCACAGACGCCCCGGCAAGGACCCCCGCTCCACTCCCACAGAGGTGCTTTATTCGGGGCCACGAGGGAGCGGCCCTGGCCCATGAGCAGGCAGGCGCTCAGGCTACCCCAAAGGAAATGTTCCGGTGCGAGCGGTGGCGTTTGCTTTGAAGTCCAGAAGAGGCTGCTGAGGCCAGTTCGGGGTCTGGCCGCTCTCAGGCGGAAGGCGGGACTAGCAGAGGGCTTCGGCTCGGGGCGTGGGCACACAGCGCGGCGTCCTTTGCTCTTCCCGCCTCGCTCCCACTGCGTTCCCCTTCGGGGATCGGCTTCCAGAAGGGCAGGAAGACATCGGTCCTTTCCGCTGCGTCGGTTAGCCTGTTTCTTTGGTCGCTAGATGGCAGTAAAGCATCGTGGTTCCGCCAGACCGCCCTCCGCCCTCCGCCCTTTGTCTTTTGAAAAACTCGAAGCAGGAAGCGCTCCACCAAAGCCTTGGCGCCATTTTCTTTTTTTCTTTCTTCTTTCCTCTTTTTCTTTCTGCCTCTCCTCTCTTCATTTTCTTTCTTTCCTTCTTTCTGTTTCATGGGGGATGGGGTGGGGGTGGGGGGTATTTATTTTGTTTCTATGGAGACTGGGTCTCCCTGTAGCCCCAGCTGGCCGTGAGCTCACTGTGTAGACCAGGCTGGCATACAGCCCACAGAGATCCCAGGCTTGCTTTTTCTGGCTTGTGGGTCTAGGCCTGCTTTACACGCTGATTCAAATTATGACAGTTGAAGTCTTTTAAATAAAAAACAAAACAAAAATTTTAAATACTGTTACAATTCGCGTCCCAAGCAAACTGCACTTAGACTCCAAGCTGGCATTTCCCCCCTTGGGCTCTCTTGGTTCTCCAGCTATTTGTGTTTCTGCTTCTCTGAGTGGGATTTGAAAAGTGTCTTGATATATGGCTTTCTTGGTTCTCTTTTTTACTACAAAAAAATAGATTAAAAAATAAATAAAAATAGGCGGGGCGTGGTGGCACATGCCTTTAATCCCAGCACTTGGGAGGCAGAGGCAGGCGGAACTCTGTGAGTTCAAGGCCAGCCTGGTCTACATAGCAAGTTCCAGGTCAGCTGCAGCTACAGGGAGACCCCGCCTCAAAAAGACCAAAAATAAATAAATATAAAATATAATATAGTATAATATTGCGTTAGTTCCAGAATAAACACTTCTTTCCTCTTTAAGGTGGCAGTTGCGCTTTTGTGGCAACAATTGAAACTGTGTCTTCTCTTTTTCAGAGGAAAGGTGCATTTTCAAACTGCTCGGGTTCAAGTTGCCTAATGCAGTCAACATCTTTTCTTCAAACTCCAATTTTTACCATGAGTTACCCCGTCCTAAAAGTTGTTTGAAAGGATTGGAATTCTGACCTTTCCTTTAAAAGTGCAGATACCTCCACCAAAGGGATATATACAATATTTTAAAATGTTAGGGAGAAGCAAAGCTGTTTCTTCTTTGTTACCACCATGGAAATGGAAGGTGGGGTCCAAAGCAGATTATGAGAGGGGGATCTGTCCTCAATGGCCTCCAAGCCTGCTAATATTTGTTTAGCTACATTAACACTCCCTTTCTGGGTACTATGTCACCCTAGGGCTGTGACAGGTCAAAGTGTACCGCCCTGACCTGTGGCTCTGATGTCCCCATAGTAGCTCAGTTTTTAGGGTTGACACAAAAGCACAACTATCACCTCGAAGGGCATAAGAGATAATTTATTCCTGAGCCAAATCTGAGTGACCGACACCCAGGAACACAGATTCCGGTTATCTCAAATTTTATGTTCCAACGTGGAACCAATTTCATGGTTTTTATAGTAAAAGAACAAAGAAAGTCCATCAATCAAGACACTTCTCAAATACATTGGTGAAAACATTAAGCAGGCAGGTTATAGGCCTCAGATGCTATCCAATAACATTCAGCCTTTAGTTGGTGGGAACTAGGGCTTTAAGTCAATACACTGCAAAAAGTTTTTATCTGTTAGTCATAGGACATTAGGTCAGAATCAAAGGTGGGCAAGAAGTGGCTGTTTAGATGCAGTTTTTCTGGGCACTTTTCATTCACATTAGCTATAAATATGGTTCCTGTCTCATGCCCTCTGAAACACACATGGTGTAACAAAGCAGGCTTTCTCTATGCCTGACCTGTCCACCAGAGGCATCACTATCTCAGAGGAATCCAGAACCCACAGCAGGTTTGAGGTTTCTGAGCACTGTGGGCTTGTCCTGAGGTGCAGACTGCCCTTCTTGGTTTTGGCTTACCTTCTGCAAACAGCTTCTGCTTACACACACACACACACACACATGCACACACACACACATACACACACACACACTTTTGAGATAATTGTAGATTTCCTTGAAGATGAGTATCAGCGGCTTTTCCGAAGTCTACGGGGCGTGCCATCAGAAGCAGTTGGCACTAGTTTGAGGTAAGAAACGTGAATCCAAGCGTTCTTGAAGTTTTGTAATACAGGAAGTGATTGAAGGAGCTGACAGCATCCCCTTCGTCCAAGCTGAAGGAAGTCTTTGATATAGTGTCTTTCAGTTGACGAAATCACCTGGTTTTAGCACTTGTTCATTTAGACTTTTATCATCTGGGATGTCACTGAGAAAAGACTCTGTAACTAATTCTGAATTTGGGTTACTTTTTAAATATCAATTATATAATAGCATATAATGTGATCCTTTAGCAGAGATAACTCACACAGCTATTTTTATAGAATAATTTATAAAATTAGTCTAGATTATTTTTTACAACTATGTTTTAGAACATCTGTTTTATAATCGATGGTTAAGATGAGCTATCTTGTTCGACTTAATCACCCCTTCCAACATTCTCTATCCAAATATAAATAGCAATGTCGTTTCCTCACATCTCTTAGCTTGCCAGCTGAAGGCACAATCTTGACATCGGATGTCAGCCCCTGTTTGTACGAAGGCCACAAGTAAAAGTCTGTGCCTGTGAGTTCCCTTTCACCATGCAACTTCGTCCTCCTATTAGGTAGGACAAAGTGAACATCTTCCTCTCTCAAACACCTCCAATTCAAAGACAACACACAGGTCTCACAGGCATTCATTCATTCTCAACATGTCTGACAAAACGCCAAACAAAAGTTCTCAATTCAGACAGACCCCCTATTTGTCCTGACCTGTCTCAACAAGATTGTACCTCTCCCAAGAAAGCCCTTCAGCTCCCTCTAGCCTCAATGACCAACAGTCTCAGCACCTGCATACCGAATCCCTCAACTTCAAACTCTTTGGACTGGTCTTGGCTTCTTGCTATTTCTTTCATTCCTCAAATTTATTTTTCAAAAAAAAAAAAAAAAATTGGGGGTGGTGGTGCAGCACAGGCCATGTTGCTCCTGTGGAGGTCAGAAGACCCTGGAGTCAGTTCTCACTTTTTGCCTCAGGGCCTCTCTTGTTTCTGCTGTTCTGCAAGCACTCTAGGCTAGCTGGCCTGCAAGGTTCCTGGTGATTCTGACTCTGCCTCCCATCTTGCCTTAAGAGTGCTGAGATTATGGATGCTCACCAAGTATCCAACTTTTTACATGGGTTCCACGAATGCAACATGGGTTGTCAGGGCTGTGCCTTTACCCACTGAGCCATCTCCCCTCCCCAGCTAACTCTTTTTTAAAAAACAACAACAAAACCAAAAGAACCCTGACCACTTTTTGTTTATTCTCTGAGAATTTCACACATGTATAAAATGTACTTTGAGCATATTTTCCAATCCTCCTCAGCTTCTCCCAGATCCTCCAATGACCTCCTTCCAACTTCATGTCCTCTTTCTTTTTAAAAAATTTATTTATTTTTATTTTTATGTGTATCAGTGTTTTGCCTATACACATGTAATTGCACCATATGTGTACACTGCCCACAGAAGCCGGAAGAAGACCACCTTAAAGTGAATGGAGGTTCATCTTAAGTCATGCTAAAGAGATGGGGGCACAACTAATGCACTGATGATGTGGTAAACTTTTCCTTCCCTGGAATTCCTGCCCCCTGAGGCAGTTGCTTCTAGTTCAGGTCGCAGACAAGTAGCTTTCTGTTAATGCCCTGAAGACAGCCCCTACCAATCAAGACTTTTCCCTGTACACAGGATATGGGGACACCCAATTAAGACTTTCCCCGTACACAGGATATGAGGACATCCAATTATTTTAAAAAATGCTTGGCGCGCGCGGTTTCTGTGGAGTGCCCCAATAAAAACTCCTGCCTACTATTGTTCGGGCCAGACTCCATCTTTGGCTCTTGAAGTCTGTGCCCGGCTAGCCGCCGTTTGGTTGTTGTCCTTTTTTCACTTTAAATTCTAAAATAAACTTTTGTATAATCTTTTTTGGGTATCTGTGGGAATTATTCTCGATTCTCGAACCCTAACAAGTGTACTGCCTACATGCGTGTAAGTGCACCTGTAACATGCAATACAGGCTAAGGTCAGAGGAGGGTATCAGATCCCCTGGAACCGGAGTTAGGGACGGTTGTTAGCTGCCATGTCGGTGCTAGAGATCCAACCTGGGTCCTGGAGATCCAACCTGGGTCCTCAACAGGACCTGCCACTGCTCTTAACCAGAGTCATCTCAGCCATTTTAAAATTACTTTGTCAATGAGATGAAGAACTCCCAAAAGGGAACACCAATGACCTGTAGCAGGAGGACCGAACACTGAGAAGATAAAGGTGCAGCTGGCAAGAAACTCAACTCTTGCAGGAGCCTGCGAAGGGAGAGGGTCCAGACCTCTTT